CCAATAATTCCTTATCCAATAATAAATCTCAGATGACCCCAAAAAGCCCAAAAGACATCACGAGGCTCAAGCCCATTGGGCCCACAAGGCCCAACAAAGAAAGCCCAAAACATAGTCCAAGAAGGAGTCCAATACCAATGACAACTCCTCAGTCCAAGAAGTCTAAACTCTCAAAGCCCAAGACCCAGATCCAAGGCCCAAAGTCCAAAGATGTCAAACGAGCCCAAAATGGCACTAGGCCATTTACGTTGGGCGTACCCCCGAAATCCTCAGTACGCGGGCCGTATATGTGGTTACGCTGGGCGTAACCTCGATCCTTCCCAAAAAGCAACCTGTGACTTAATCCCTTTAGCACTTAGCCCCAAAACCTCATGGAACTTTCATAATAAGCTCTTAACTGATAAAGTTGCCAACTTTATTAGTTTGCATGTCTCAATAGGACCCAACTTCCAAAATAATCCTTCAAGATCCGCAATAACCACCTTAACACATGCATGATCCATCCTTAAGCATCAAGCAAGCACCTTTATGAACTAATAACCTCAGAAATACAAAGAATGGCAACTCTAAGCTCCTGGGGTGTTGTCAAATCACTAGATCTCACCCATGAGACCAAAATGGGACCAAAACTCACATAATGCTAGATCTAAGCTCCTAATGAGCAAGGTTAGAGCTTTATACCTCTAATGAGCTGAAAATAGAGTAGAGAGTCGAGATCCGCAAGCCTTCCCTTGAACCAACTCCTTGCACCAAGCTTCCACCTCTTGAACAATCACCAAAACCCACCAAAGATACACACAATGAGCTCAAACCACTCTTGGATGAGGCTAGGGTTAGAAGTTAGTGTTTTAGAGCAATGAGGGCTGATAAATGAGAGAGTCTTGAGGTTATAATGGTGTATAAATAGTGCCTAAACCCTAAAAGCAGAGTTTGGCACTCTGCCCGTTATGATGGGCGTATCCAACCAGACAGACGCATACCACCTCGCATGCATGGGACCAACTTGCCAACAATTTCCATTAGGGGCCAATTATGTCAATATCTTCAGAATGTAATAACTTCCTCATCTTAGATCCTTTTCCGACGAACCTTATATCCACGGGAAGGTGGCGAGAAGCCCTACTCTTCTTACAACACACCCAAACCTAAAAACATCTCGATCAAAACCCAAAATCCATAAAAGACGGTGTCATCAAATTACGATCATACCCTTGACCTCCGAAAACACTATTGAACACTTGGATCACTAAAACCACAACACCCACACCCGAGAAGGGCCAAATTCTTCCTTTCCAAAGGCCCTAAGCCTCATGACCACTGAAGATTGGGCCGCAGGCCCGAAAAAGAAGCAAATCCGAAATCGAGTGTTACATAAGATTTGGGCCACTATTGGGATTTTGTGCCATTAGGTTTGGGCCATGACTTTTTGGGCCAAATGAGGGAAGGGTAAAATGGTCTTTCACCCTGGGAATTGAGATTAGTTGATTAAGTCTCGATTATGGTTTATAACCTAATTATTAATTAGGGTTTTATTTGATTGGTTAGTGTGGGGATTCTCCGGTTCAACAACCCGAGCATTTATTTGATTTTCAGCAGACTGATGTGAGTTTGCTCACTATACTGTAGGACACTAGGGATTGTATGTGCTCGTAGTCTTTATGACTCCTGATGTATGTGTTGTATGCCTGTGTGTCTGTTTTCTATATGTATGTGGAATGAAATAGACCTGGTACAACCTTATACTGACATAGTGACATATGAGTTGAAATTGACTCGGAGGTGTAATAGACCCGGTACAGCCTTGTGCTGACATATGAGTTGACGTATATGTATGGTATGTGGTATTTTGGGGAAATCACTAAGCTTTGTGCTTATAATTTTCAGTTAATGTTCAGGTACTTCCGGTTCGAAGGGGAAGAGTTCGGGATGATCGCATTTCACACACCACCATTTTCCGCTTATTTGACTCTGATGTACTTTGGGATGTTTTTGAATACACTATGATTACTTTATGGTTTTCGACAAATATGTTTGGTTGATGGTTTATTTAATATAAAAACGAAAATTTGGTTCTGAGTTTTGGGACGTTACAAGCATAATATTGAAGCTATATTTCAGGGGTTGTTATATGCTTAGCAAATTGAAGGTAAATTGTCATGGACCAATTTATCACTAAATTAATAAGAAAAATAAGGGAATGGCTGGAAATACCTCTACAACAAAAGATCAATGTTAGTTGCCTCTTTCTCCTTATGTTGTTTTTGATGTGCATAGATTTGAATTAAAACAATGTATGTAAACTTTTAAGTCATCTTATGCTCAAGCTTCACATGATAATTCAAAACTTTGAAGAAAGTAGAGTAATAAAAAATCTATCTCGTAAGTCATACATAATGATGTCTGAACCAAGGATAATTCATAATAAAAAATCTTATGCTCAAGCTTCACGTGATAATTCAAAACTTTGAAGAAAGTAGAGTAATAAAAAATATATCTCGTAAGTCATACATAATGATGTCTGAACCAAGGAAAAAGAATCAAAGAATGACCCTGTGTACCTGGCTATTATCGATCATATAAGAGCATAGGATTTTTTCAAATCAAAAAAAGCATGAGTCATCATCTTCTCTGATATCTATATTCATCGTCTTCTCCAACGTTCATAGATAATGTGACAGAAATTCAGAGAGAGGGACTATGTGAAAAATTGATTCCACAATCTTTAATATCTCATTGTCTTATCCAATATCTAGAGTCACTGTCTCGTATTTTTCCTCCATTGGTTTGATAATCCGATTTTACTGCTTCTTGGTTCCTAAATTGATACAACAACGATAGTGTAATGTTAATTCTATCTCGCTCTCACTCTGTAACTTGTTGGTATAAATATTGGTGATGAAGATCATTTGAAGGAATAGGGAGTTAGGGGAACATGAGAGACAACAATATGAAATTAAAGGCAAAGATAGGATTTGTGGGGGAGAAGAAACATCATGGAAGCGGAGAAGAGGGAGGGGAAGATGGAGTCGTGGGCGAGCTGAAGACGGAGGCGTGTATGGAAACTGAAGAAGATAACGGTAAATAGTGACTTTAAATGGCTATGTAACATAGCTATTGATCTAATGGTTGTGAATGGAGGGATGGTTTTTAACCGCTCTCCATTAATAAATATATAATATGTATTCTTTTAAACATGTTTTCAAATAGAAACTATTCTTCCTGACAGATACATTACTCTTATATACTTGAAAACTATGACCGCAAAACAAACATCACCAAAAGTTGGTGTTGTACGATGCTCCTTTTTATTTGTACTCGATGCTTTTTTTTAGGTCTTCTCTTCTATTCATGCTTTTTTTTTTTTTTTTTTTTTTTTTTTAAATTACAGAGTGTTTGAAAATGCTTTTTAAAATGATTTATTAATTTATTGTTTTTTCTAAAAAGTTAATATGCTAAAAAAATATTTGATAAACACTAACTTTTTAATGACAAAAATGACTTTTTTAAAATAATCATAAATTTTTGGTTTTTCCAAAAAATTAACAAGTAAGATCGAAAAGTACTCCTAAACACGAGTTTAGTCATAAGAACCCCATACTCTAGAAGTTCTACATTTGATACCATTGTATAATCATTACTTTATTAAGAGGGTGTGTGGTGAAAGCTTAAAAAATGAATTTTTTGAAAGGACTTTTTTTTAAAAACACACCTCCAATAAATCATTTTCTATAACGAAAACTCCTTATTTCACCCTATAACAAATTGACTAATATACCCCTTTAACCTAACGTTAACATCGACACAACATCGCTCGTCTGTTCTCCATCGCATCTGTTCATCGCTGCTGCTGTTGTCTACCGTGAATCGCCACCCCTCCCCTGCTCGCAGCCGTTAGCCTTCTCCTCCCCACCGGACGGA